AGGAATTCTGGTCAGGTGGACAGCAAGATTAGGTTGTATAGGAAGAGCAGTTGAGTGTTGAGATGGAGTATGGGGAGTTGTGACCTTGTTGGGACAAGGTTGGCAGCATATTGGAGGGAGGACAGCAGCCTAAGGTTGTTGGGGAAGAGGTGCGGTAGCCTGCTGTAGGGCTGAGAAGCGGGTGGACAGCAGGTAAATATCTCGTCAGGGTCGAGCTACAGCCGGAGCACCACCGAAACCAGTGGAGACGATCACCACCTCGGACGAGGGACAACCAGAGCACTACCTCGCCGTCGGATACAACCCTCGAAGGGAAAAATACCAAGGCTAAAACTTGGTTTCAAATATCAAAAACAAGACTCCTAACTTTAAGCACATCATCCTCTATTTATAATGAGGCTAGGACTTTATTTTAGGCAATAATTAAAATAAGAAAGAAAAAATAAAAGCAAGATTTCAGATTTAAAAAGAGGAATAAAATATTCAGAATTTCTGATTTGAAATTCATTTTAGGAAAGGGTTTATAATGAAAATTCAGATTTAGGAAAGAAGAATAAAGTATTTAGAAATTTTGATTTGAAAATTCAGTTTAGGAAAGGGATAATGGGAATTCAGATTTTCGAAAGAAGAATAAAAATATTCAGATATTTTGATTTGGAAGGATTTGTATTAGGAAGGTGCTAAGAAAGAAAGAGGGGAAGGGGAGAGAAGGGAAAGGGAGGAGAGGTAGTTCCCCTCCTTTTGAGGATCGGTCGATCCTCCATAGCCCATGCGTCAGTCTCCCAAGGTTGGGGAGCTTTGACGTCACATGTTGAAGCTTCCGTGTCGTTGTCAGCCACCCCTAGATCCCATTGGCGATTGCACCGTCTTACGAAAGCATTTGAGGAGCTTTTCCCATTTGAGAGCGTACCTCCCTATCTATATGTTCTGTTTTGGCATAATTTGAGCCATAGGTTTTCCCAAATCAAATTTGGAACAAGTAAATATTTCATATGCTTATCATCTATGACGAGTTAGGCCTCAGCGAGGTTGAGGTTTTGTAAGAATTTGGTTGATGGGTGATTCTTATTATTTTTCGGATCTTCCCTCTGACTCTTGAAGTTTTGGAGAACCCACATCTCCAATAACAAGAGTTTCACACTGGACTTTCGTCTCTTCATATGGAACACTGGGGGTAAGGGTTCGAAGTGTAGCCGCTTGTGATGCTATCTATTGGTTGTTACTAAGGTCTTCACCTAAAATTTTGAATTCTGGCATCTTCTGGTCTACGTGATTTTTATGTCTCAACAAAAAGTTCATCTTCTAGGAGAGCAGGAACCGCAATCTCATCAAAAATCGCATGTTTTTTTTTCATATGGAGGAAAGGCAATGGATGTATCCAAGAATAAGGTAGTTACTCGGGGGAAGACGTGTTATATAAAAATTCTCGTTTGAACTGCTCTTCAGTGTCTGCGGTGTCCTTACCCTAGGTTTCAATAATGTCATGCTCCATGGAATAGGTCACTTCCCTGGTTGTGCATTATGTTTCCACATGTTTGAATCTGTGGCACTTGCAACATTTTCTGGTCGTGACAAACTTGAGGATTGGTTTCGTTGGATAGTAGCAAGGGGGGTTATTTGGTGATACGGTCTCTCCACTTCGAAAACTAGAGTTTGCAATATTTGGCGTGAGTAAGTTGGTAGGAACTGACACTTTGTTTCCCGCTTCATCTTCATATTTTCTCGTTCCCCCCTTCAATCTTTCGGATCACGATAGAGGGTAGTCTTTCATTGGATTTAATCTTCAATGTTCATAATCCAACTTTGAAGTCGGTTGATCTCTCATCGTATCTTCTCCCGGGAAAGCTCGAGCATGTATCTCAATGGTGGCATGGCTGGGGTTTAGAGTTGGGAGGTGAGAGAGGGTGTAGGAAAATAATTTATGGTTGTTGATTTTGAAAATCAGCAAGGGGAAGTTAGGGTTAGGTCAAGTCTTTGGCTAGGGTTTGGGAATAAGAAAAAAATTCTGGTGGAGTTGGCTTGGGCAGGGACAGATAGTAGGCGACCTCATCATAGGATTAGGGTTGGGCTAGCTTTAATATCAAGTAATACAAGGGAAGAAAGCCCAAATCACAAAAGAAATACAAATATTATTATTGAATTTGAAACCGATTACAACGACTTTTTAAAACATGAAATAAACGACAAACAAACACAAAGACATTAGCTAACACCTCGAAAGTGTATCCCAATGGTGGCGGAGGTTAGCCTAGTGGATCCGAAGGCTTGAGACAACAAGTATGAATGCAGAAGAGGGGCAACTGGAGGAGGGAGGCAGCATGTTAAGATGGCGGGAAGGTTTGTTGGGTTGCTGGGAGGTAGGTTGGAAGGTGGGGTAGCAAGCTGGGAAGGTGGGGAAGTTGTGGGAAAGGCTTGTCAGCATTTTCGGAGGGTGGACAGTGAGTGGGGAAGTGCTGGCAGCGACGGGAAAGGCCTGAACAACAAGTTAGACTGTTGGAAGTGCGTCGGCTGAGTGCGCTGGGAGGAATTCTGAGTGTTGGGATGAAGTATGGGGAGCTGCAGCCTTGCTGGAAGAAGGTTGGCAATAGGTTGGAGGGAGGACAGCTACCGATGGCTATTGGGGAAGAGGTGTTGTGGTCTGTTGTAGGGCTGGGATGTGGGTGGACAGAAACAAGAGGGTGGAAGGATAGATAAATATCTCATCGGGGTCGAGCTACATCCGGATCATCACCTCGAATGAGGGACATTCGGAGCACTATTTTGACTTCGGATACAACCCTCGAAGGGGAAAATACCAAAGCTAAAACCTGATTTCAGGTATCAAAAATAAGACCCATAACTCTAACCCCACACCATCTTCTATTTATAATGAGGTTAGGACTTTATTTTAGACAATATCTAAAATAAGAAAGAAGAATCAAATCAGGATTTCAGATTTAGGGAGAGATAAAATATTCAGAAATTCAATTTAAGAAATGGATTATAATGGAAATTCAGAATAAGGAAAGAGAAATAAAGTATTCATAAGTTCTAATTTGAAATTTCAGTTAGGAAAGAGATTATAATGGAAATTCATATTCAAAAAAGAAGAATAAAAATATTCAAAAATTCTGATTTGGAAAGATTTATATTAGGAAGGTGCTAAGAAGGAAAGAGGGAAAGTGGAGAGAACGGAAAGGGAGGAGCGGCAACTCCCCTTCCTTTGAGGACCGATCGGTCCTCCATAGCCCCCTCGTCAATGTGTGATTAAAATTATTATTCATTCATTGAAACTGTAATTTATATTGATTGCAAAGTGCGTCATATGCAAAAGAGATGTGCAAAATTGACTCTTATCATCACTCTAATCATTTCTCGTATCTATGTAATATTCAAAATTTCTTTTGTGAAGTACATAATTTACATTTTTATCTCAACTAGTACTTTCCTTTAAGATATTGATTCTAGTTTATTTCTATTCGAGAGAGTATATAGCATTGTTGGTCTTCAGCTCACTTGATTATAAGCTTCTCAAGATGTATCGGACCAGAAGCCTTTAATTTCAATTGTTTACTTTTCACATCGAGATGTGTTTGCATAAGCATATGTGTTCCTCTTAGGACTTGTTTTCCTTTGAATCCTTCATCTTTTTCTCTCATGCCTCTTTAAAGCATTCTCCATCTTTGCAAACTAAGATAAAATAAATTTAGCAAAGTAATTATAAGTGTGGCCGTTAAGGACTGAAAAAGGTTAGTTCAGCTACCTAAAATAGGAGTTTTAATTGGTCATATAAAATTAAAAGATAAATGTAGAAGCTTTCTCAAGATGTCAGTTAATGCAGCCCAAAAGCTGATTTTGTATGTATAAACACAGAGGTGATCCTTTCTGCTTCTATATTCTTGGCACCTTCCTTAATTGTCTTCTTAGTATCCTTATTTATATATACGAGGACAAAGTTTCTTAAGTTGGAAGGCGTTAATTAAATTTAAAAGCACGAAGCAGTAACGGAATAGAATGGATATTTAGGAATAGAACTATAAAATCTAATTAGATCCTGATAATATGTCTATTTGAATGTTGGGGAGAAAGGAACCTATTGATGGCTATGAGAGTGATTGGAAATAATAACATGTGGTGAAGTAGGAATGTTATTAGGAGATGATTATGAAAGAATTCGAAGTAGTGTCTATTCGTTTACTCAACTTATGGTATTAAAAGATGGGCTTAAATGTTTTTTTTTTTTTTATATAAATATCAGTGTAAATCTAATTTATAGAATCAACCATGAAGAAGGAGAAAGGGTTAGACAAGTTAATATTCTTATAAATTGTGCAAAAAGCAAAATAGGGTAGCATTTAGTGGAGCGTTTGATTGGAATTTAATTAAGTTGGTTTTCTTAGGTTCATTGGAGAAGGCTGATGATGATAATTATGATATTAAATGAAAACTCAGTTTTTTTATTACTTTTAAGGTCAAGAAATCTGCTAAATTATTTCTTAGTGCCATCATTATATAATGAGCATGTATTTAAACTTTTAGCACAAATTTTCTTGAGTTTAATTGTTTGGAATTTGTTGTGAATTGATCTATGATTTGTTTAAGCAAAATTTACATATATACCACAGATTCTTATGTATTTTCATATCGAACACTATGTTTACACTTTATAACACCTTGGTGTCATAAACCTATGCATGAATAGCTGTATTTTACTTTTAAAAAGATAGATGGTGATGTTTGTGATGTGATTATAAAGATGTGAGTGATTTGCATGTAAATATGAATGTTTAGATGTTAGATATGTAAATACATGAGAATTGTGTGGTATGTTTGTTGATGCCCATTTTTTAATATCATAAAAGGGCGGTTAAAATCATTATTATTTTTTTCAAAGTTTTCATCTATCTTCATGTATCACACTTGTTTGATTATAGCATTAGTAAATCTCATTGCAACTCTCTGGAGATTTCTGTAAATCCTATATACCAAGTCCCTTTACCTTTTCAATCTATTTTGTTCAGGTAAGATGGGATGACGTCAATGTTGTCAACAAAAATCGACATAACAGAGTCTCCCCTTGGGAGATAGAACGCAGCGGATCTTTCTCCAGTCCCAACAGCCTTTTAACATCTGGTTCCAAGAGAAGCAGAGTTATTCCTCCCTCAATAAATGCAGATTATCCACTCACAAGTAACCCAATGACTAACCAAATTCCTCTATTATACCCGCTCCGAGTTTTCTGCAAACTCATCAGACTTCATGCCATTTTGCAGGAGAAAATGGTTATCAGAACTTGGGGAAATCTGTAAGTTTACGCAAGGTCTTTCAAGGTCAAGAAATTTTGAGTTTCAACGCCCCTTATTTTAATAGGGGCGATGCTGCTCTAACTCCTCGGGTTTCTGAAATGAGAAATGATTCTTTTCCTAAAAAGAGATGTACTGCTAATTCTAGTAGTTTCTGGCTGTCTGGTTCAGGATGTGGTGCTACAGATCCACCAAAAAACTCAAGTTTTTTCTACAGATTCCATGAGGTTTTGCAAGGCCAAGAAATGGTTCGAGTATTGCCATCCTTCCCTGGATTGGCTGCCGAAAGCCAAAGTAGAAATGGTGCTTTAAAAATTTTGAAATCATCCATTTCTGGAAGTAGTTCTGATGACCGTTTTGAAAGCTTCAGTACCCTCATGCAGCCATGCTTTTCATCAGCCCAAACTTCTTCTCCGTCTTCAGTTCTGTTGTTTCAACAGCCCACCTCTCATCTTCCCAGTTCCCACTCATTTGATGACAGTAATGATAGGGAGAAAACAGACGACATGAACTTAGGATTTGGTTTCACCAAGGAGCGTAGCAGCTGCAGGCTTTTTGGAGTCTCCCTCACTGAAAAGTTTTCAGATGAAAATGTGGTAGCTGGAGGTGGTAACAGAGATCCACCAGAACAGTCTGATTTTTGCTGCAATGGTGGAGACTTTGGGGAATCTGTTCGATCCCATGAGGTTTTGCAAGGTCAAGAAATAGTCAAACTATTTGATTCGTTTGGTTCATTCATGGAATCCCATCGAAAGCAGACATCTCGCCGACCGATTGAGAAGGACAATCGGAGTATCCTTCATTGTAATGATAGCAGCTGCATGCTTTTTGGATTCCCACTAACTGAAAATATTCCAGCTGCAGGCACTTTATCAAGCACTAGTATTGAATCATCTTTCTCGAGACATTTGCCTCGAACCATGGTTGCCCAAGAGTAGGTGTTTCTATTCGTCACTTTTTTTCTGAAACTTTATACTTTGTTGTACAAACGTATCACTTAATTTGTATATATTTACATATCTTGCACTTAAACATTAATTTTTACATGCATAAAAAAAAGTGTATTTCATTTTTTTTAAAAAAAAAGTTAAAGTTACGGTATTTTTGATGTGATGTGAATGATTTTGGTGGTATTAATATGTAAGAAGTCTAGGTGTTACATATATAAATACATAGGAGTTGGGTGGTATGAACTTAACTGCTCCTTTTTTTAATCTATTTTCATATGCCATATTTTTGTGCTTGCTTGTAAGAGAAAGAGTTCTAATTTGTTTTACTTTGTCCATCCTGCAGGCTGCATTTGTAAAACGCTTGAAATATATTTCAGCATCCATCTGATGCATGGTGCAACACAACACACCATAGGCTACTGAAGGTTGCTTCTGATATTTCATTTGACGAAGCATATTTGTACATTTAAACTATTGCGGTGTATCACTTCTTGAATTGATCTGCACATAAAAAATCTATCGCTCTGTTGTTTTTTTAAAGACCGGTTGAAATTGGCTTCATCGTGCTTTTGTTTACTTATTTAATGTTTGTAATGAGCTTAATTTTGTGGGGATATGGCAAGTGCAGCTGACTAAAGTTTGTTAGATTTAAAGGAAAAATTTTTACACCGACATAGCTATACATGTGGACTCCAATAATATGATGTCACGTGTGCTACATCGTGGAGGTTATTTCGGATTTTTGAAGTGAAACTGCCGAGGGGAGTCAACGAATCTATTTTAATATTTTTTAGATGAGCCCGATATAGCACACATGACGATATATTACTGAAAGTAGAGCTACGTCATGAGTTTGGACAGTAAATTTTAGGAGATTTAAAGGGAAAGGTGCCCACCTTTGAGCACATAAATGCTTGGCTTGTTGTAATTGTGTTATATGATGGTAGAATTGCATTAATAACTGTTAAAGAGTTTGTGACACATGGAAAATCTCCCGTTGCGAGATGTGCAATTTAAGTGCTTTAGAGATATGAACCTCATCAAGCATAGCATCATAAGCTTCAGCCTCACATAAATCTACAAGAGATTGCACGAGAGCTGACCACCATGGTTGATGCTTATTTACATAAACAGATCAAATCACTAAATTCATTTTTAGTTTTGTAAGAAAATCTAGTAGGGTTTTTTTAGTTGTTATTTTTAAAAATATAAATATTTTAAGATGAGACAATATTTAAAATTCATTTATTGTATGGCTATGATTGTTTGATTGTAAATTCAAGGCATTCAAACTTAAAATAATTTGTACATGTCATTGAAATGGGGATGAGGGCAGATGCAAAAACTATGCAACAAGCTGCTAGCGATAGGTGATAGGAGTGACTGCCACAGGCGGTTTGTCATTTACATGTATACTAAACAATTCTCACGTATTTATATAAATCTAACACCCAAACATTCATAATTACATGCATACATCTTTAAAATCAAACTTAAAATATAACAATCACTATCTATTTAAAATACATTTTCATGCATAAATTTGTCATGTGATATAGGTGTAAATATCAAACTTTAGTGTTAGATATGCAAATACATAAGAATTGTGTTATGTATATAAATTATATATATGTCTATATATATATAGTGGTTTATGAAAGCATAAACAACAAAAAAACAAATTCTATTAGTTAAACTTGTCAAATCCCAAATGCAAAGATAATGCTTGAATGTTTTATTTTCTATTACATGTATATTTGTACATTTAGATTCTTATTTTTGGTTAATGACAATAGTTGGTGTAGCTTGCAGTACCTGTATCTCCTTCTCATCTATTTTCATATGATATCAGAGAAGGAGGAAGATATAGGTATTGCAAGTTATAGCAACTTTTCTAAATCAACCAAAAACATAAATATGAAGATGCAAAATATGTGTAATAGGAAATAAAACATCCTAGCATAAAGGGGAATGGACTTATCTTTACATTTTGAGATTTGGGGAGTGTACCTAACCGAATGTCTTTTTGTCTGGTAGTTTTGTTTTTGTTATCAACTACAAACCTACTCGGACTCTGATTTAGAGGCAGATTCTACCAACCGTAGATCCACCACGAGCTATTGCTTGTGGTTGGAGAACACACCGATCTCATGAATGGTAAAGAAACATCACACGGTTGCACGGTCATCAACATGAGGTGCCATATCGCACGGTAGCTACAGCAAAAACCAAAATCATTTGGTTAAGACATCTTCTACAAGACTTAACATTCTATAACTTCAACCTACCAAACTCCAAACTCCACTGTGATAATCTCTCAGCCAAGACGATAGCTAACAATATGGTATTCCACACTCAACACAAAACATATTGAAATCGACTATCATTTTATATGTGATCATATTCAATTGGGTCATCACATCCACACTCAGGATCAACCAGCCAGCGGACATCCTCACCAAACCTCTCCAAACAACAGTTCAATCAGCTCAAATCCAAGTTGATCATGCGACCTCGACCCAACACCTTGACGGGTGTTCAAAGCAGAAGCAAGTCAGCTGAACAAAAGGATAAATTGCGCACACTGGCCAAATTCCAACTGCAAAGATAAAATCCAACATTCCCCTTTATGATAGAATGTTCAATTTCCAATTACATATAGTTTATACCTTTAGATTCATGTTTTGGTTAATGAGAAGGGTTATCTTCCTTTTTCCCTTCTATTATTTTCATAGTTTGAACTTATAATACTTCAAAATTTTATTTTACATTCACTTTGCAGCAAATCAAACAATAAAAATAAAATACAATGGATCGAACAGCCATCTATCTAATCCACAACTTAGGAATGACGATTGAATTCTAGCTCTCTAGAGAACTGGCATCCGATCACATTGGCATATAGAAGAGAAACTACAGAAGGCAATTTAAAGATGACGATATTTCACAAGAACGCTGAAGAGTAACAAACATCACACAATTCGATTCTTGAACAGAAACTCAACATTGCTAGGGTTCGAAGAGCTCCGCCTTGCAGTAATCTGAAGCAAAGCTCCGTCGGCAAGTAACCGTTGAAGAACCCTGGTTATGTTTTTAGTGTCATCAATTCCAAGATGGTGACTTCCCAACAAAGGAATCCCTAATTGCTTCAACATTGTTGCCATTCCTGTAGCCTGACAAGCAAAAGAGCCCGTCAAACCTTCCAATTTGGAAAAACAGAAGCATTCTTCTTTCTTTTTTTTTTTTTTTGAATATTTGCATAAAAGCCATTCAATAAACAGAAGCATTCTTCTTTCTTTCTTTCTTTTTTTTTTTTTTTGAATATTTGCATAAAAGCCATTCAATTCCTATGTATATGCATAACTAATACCTAAAACTTCAATTTTTACATGCATTCCACCTTACACATGCCCGAAAAGGTGTATTTCACTTTTTTTTAATTCAAAATTGTAGTATTTTTTATGGGGTATGAAAAATTTGAGGTATAAAGGTCAAAAAATATAGTTTAGGTGTTGAATATGTAAAGACATGGGAACTAGGTGGTACGTATGTAGATGCCGGTTTTTTTTCCACATATTACACAATTTTTATGCATTTATGTGTCTAATAGTTAATTTTATTCATAATTACTCAGACAACACTAAAATCGTTAACATAATATCAAAAATAAACTTATGCTAAAATGTTACACAAGTAAATCACAATGTTTAAATGTAAAATATATCATTCAAATTTGTGATCTTAGACAAATAATCTTTCTCAATAACTACAAGTTTTTATACAAGTCAATTCTTCTTTCTACAAGGTAATACCAAAGTCAATTTTTAATATGCATTAGCATTTCAGTTTAATTATGATCATACTTTGTCAAATATATGGCTCTTTGATCTTTGGGTTATTTGTGAACATTTGGATTATTTTATGCTTTTTTTATATACTGTTATGAATTTTATGTTTTTTTTGTACTGTTATGAAGTGATTTTTTTTGTTATAAACTATCAAATATATAACCATGATAGTTCTGTTGCAAACAACATAACTGCACAGGGGCAGAATTGTCATTTATATAAAAAAAAACTGCAAATCAGTTGTTTTTCAAACGCACAAACCAAACAGTCAGACAGTTTATCCAGATCAACTGCTGATCAGCAGCTTATCTGGATCAACAGTTCATCTGAATAAGCTGCAACTGCCCAAAACTGACCCTAAGTCATATCAACACCTTTGTTTTCTAGAGCTTTCTAAAGAACTTCTCTAGAAACCTTATCGTAAGTTTTTTCTAAATCAATAAAAATCATATATCGATCCTCCTTACTCTCTCTATATTCCTCCATCAATCCTCTCAATAAATGTATAGCTTTCATAGTAGATTCGCCCAGCATAAATTCAAACTGATTATGAGAAAATTTTATAACACATCTTAACCTATGTTCAATTACCCTCTCATAATTTTAAAGTATGAAACATTAACTTAATTCCTATATAATTTGCACACTCTTGTGCATCCTTTTTATTCTTAAAAATGGAAACTAAAATACTCTTCCTCCACTCCTCAGACATCTTTTTAGTTTTTAAAATAATATTGAAGAGATATCGTCTGATTCAATTGATTTTCCACCCTAGTTTCTTTAGTTCTTAATAATGTTATTTTTTATGTGATATTAAAAATTTGAACAGAATAATCGTAAATTCAAAGTTAGGTGTTAGATATGTAAAAAAATAAGAATTTTGCAGAATGTATGAGAAAAGTAGTTATGCTTACTCTTCGGTTATAAAAGTTGAGATAGATGTCCTTGAGGTTAATCCATTCCATGAAGTACAACGGTGTTCTTATCTTTGAAACTTTACATTGTTGAGGAACCTTTGTCTTCAAATCCCAATTCCCACTGACAAAGTACATAACAACAGAAAATAACATATTAAATATTGTCCGACCAATAATTATAGTATCTCAAGAACAATGATACTTGTTGCACAAAAAGTTTTTGTTTCGTTGATGCGGGAAAAAGGTTTGGGGGTCCTACAATAAATTTTGAAGAATAAGATGTTAGATTGAAAGTTTAATTATCAGAGCTTCTGCATCAATAAAAAATGTTGATTAAAGAGCTTGAGATTGTTACAACTTAAATACAAATGAAAGAAACTCGTCCCTAAATGAAATAATGTAGGGGCCATTTGAGATCATTTTTATTTTTAATATTTGCTTGTTTTTTTATTTAAAAAAAACATAGTTATATCTTAAAAATACATTTTATTTTTTTAACATTAAATAAATTGATTAATGTGGTGATGGCAGTTGTCGCCAGCAAAATAGTGGCAGTAGCCTAAAAGGCATCGGGAGTGGTGGTGGCAATGTTAGCCGGCAAGTGGTGACTGACAGCGGCTAATAATAATGGCAATTACTTTTAAAAATAAAAATTAGATACTTATAAAAACAAAAGCAAGAAATAAAAATAAAATGAATTCCAAATAGGCCCTTAATTGCTAACCATGTTACAAATGCAGCTCGATAGAGTGATCCTCCAGCCTGCTTGTTCCATAATTGATGATGAGACATCCATTTCTCAAATTCTTCTAACACATCTTTGAACAGAATAGCAGTATCATGCCAAACACTGTAAAAATCATGCAGAAAAAATATATAAAATATATAAGCATACTTAGTTTAGGCATCACCCATAAATTTAACATGAACTTGAATTTCATAAAATGATCATTCATATATGTTTGTCCAATTTCCTTAGTGAAGAAATTTCAGATTCTTCCAAATATCCGGAAAGAGCAGTCAATAATAATTTTGTTAAGAGGTAAATTTGCCAAGTAATTTGAATGATGTTGCCAATGAGAATAGCAACTTCACATCATGTGGAAATAAACTTCTCAGACTTGCATCTTGTACGAATTATGAAGCACAGACACTCCCAAATAGGAGCCGTACTCTGTCCAGCACGTGTCGGACACACACGGATTGATACCGTATCCGACACTTAATACAGTGTTGACAATGCTGCCTTCTCAGACACCTCTCTCGACACCTCTCCGACACCGCTCGACACCTCTCTCAACACTTGAGCAGCAAAGCAGAATCTAAAGCGTCAAAAAATAAATAAATAAAGCGACATTTGAAGGTTTGCAGTCTTACCAGAGCCTCACAATAGCTTACATTGCCCTCGCAGTAGCTTCCATTGCCCTCACAGTAGCTTCCATTGCCCTCGCATCAACCTGTCAAAGAAAATAGCATCATTGTCGAGCGTCTCACGTCACTAATCGAGTCGCCGAGCAGCCATGATCGAAGCAAGTTAGTCTTTGACATGATCTGGAGCTTCAAATCCAGCTAGGGCATCATCCAAAGCACGATACAAAGCTTCCATACGAACTCCCTTGCGATCCAAAGCTCCGACGCTAAGTCGGGGACGATCAAGTGAGGCGACAGGAGCCAGGGGATGATCACGCGTGCGGTAACTTCCGTTTTTTTTTTTTTTATACGTGTTTTTTTTACGGGACTCCCGTAAGGGGTGCAGTTCTTTTATTTTTTTCTGACAGGACTCCCGTAAGGGGTGCAGTTCTTTTTTTTCCGACGGGACTCCCATAAGGTGCCATGTTATGGATGTTGATATTCAATTTTGACGTCTATATTTTTTTTTTTTGGATTTGGGCTATTTATTTGGTATTCCATCTTTGATACAGCAATTCTTTTACACCAAATTCCTTCAATTTACATCAAAGAGGCCACTATTTTGACGTTTAAACAATTCACATTTTTATGCATCAGGAAGGTGGTCTGTATGTAATAATTGAAGTTTAGGTGTTATCGATGTTAATGCATAAAAATTGGGTGGTATGCATGTAAATTTCCCAATTTTATAATAATTGATTAATTGAGATGAATCAAACTCTTTGTTTTATGATTTAGTTTGAACTTGTTTATTACCATAAAATTTGGTATTTTGTTTTCTTGTGGATCCAAACTCTGATTGAATTATATATGTAAATGTCTCATTATCTTTTTATTAATTATTATATATATGTGTGAAATTTAAATGTTTATACTTTCTTCAATTGATTAATAGGATAATGGCTACTAAAAATATCTCTAACAATCCTATTTAGGACGAGACAAAGCCTTTATGGGCATGTGTCACCAAATTAGAGAATTCCAGGGTCACTTTTGTCAAGGAAAGCTCAAAGGAACATATTCTAAGGTTAGAGCAAGCTTGGTTCGACAATCTGGAGTTGGTATTCAAGCATATCCTAAAGTCACTTCAACACATATTCAAGAAATGCATAAGTAGGATGCTAAAGCAAAGCAGAAAAAGAAAAATGTTGTATTTAATAAGGTTGCAATTCCTTCTTCCGGGCAAGTGGTTCAAATCACTAATAATGCACCTGTGTGTAGAGCTGCAGGAGTATTGATTGAAGCTCAACAGCCTCATATAATGAAGTTAACATTAAAGAATATATGTGCTTCAAAAATTATATAAGGATATGAGACAACTTATGAGCAATGCAGCTGATAATTGACATTATACGAGATGGTAATTTTATAAAAACTTTTATTATGATGAATCATTCAATGAAATTATCAATATTCAATGAGTCATTGCAAAGACCATTTTGCATCAAATATAATTATGCTCAGAAGATTCAAAGCAATAAAACAAGGGCTAGAAATAAAAGTGATCAGTGACAAATGGAATATATATCGTGAACATGATATAAACATGGCAAAATTTGTGAAAAAAAAAAATCTTAGATGATGTATGGTGAGATAAAATTAACTATGTTATTGATTTTATAGAACCTGTGTACGACATCTTGAGATTGGCTGATACAGATAAAACTTCTCCATCTTATCTACGATATGTGAGATTCTATGATAGAAAAGGTGAAAGACATTATATATTGACACGAGAAAGAGTGATAATGAAGAATCCATTTTTTATAAAATTGTATATGAGATTTTAGTTGAAAGATGGAATAAAAGCAACACTCATCTTCATTATTTAGCCCACTCTCTCAATCCAAGGTATTATTTGATTTTATGTTAATTTTTTATTAATCTTATCTTATATTAATTTTGTCACTTATGAGTGCATTTTTTATTAGGTATTATAGTCACACTTGGCTAAGTAAAGCTCCAAATCGTGTTGCTCCACATAAGAACATGGAGATATCAATTGAGAGAAACTCCAAATCGTGTTGCTCCACACGTGTTGCTCCACATAAGAACATGGAGATATCAATTGAGAGAAATAAATGCTTAAAGCAGATTTTCCCAAACATTGAAAGAACTTGGCTAAGTAAAACTCCAAATCGTGTTGCTCCACATAAGAACATGGAGATATCAATTGAGAGAAATAAATACTTAAAGCAGATTTTCCCAAACATTGAAGAAATATCTACTGTTAATTTAGACTTTACTAATTTCTTTGGATTTAGTGGTGCTTTTGTTGATCATGACTCCATAGCTTCTAAAGCTATTATGGATGCAAAGGCATGGTGGATGATTTATGGAGCAAGTTCCCCACAACTGCAAAGTTTAGCTTTCAAATTGTTGAATCAACTGTGTTCATCTTCTTGTTGTAAAAGAAACTGAAGTACATATTGGTATTTATTCATATTGGTATTTATCAATTCACTTAAGAGAAACAAAATTACTCCACAACGAGGTGAAGATTTGGTATTTATTCATACTAATCTCCGTCTTCTGTCTAGGAGGAGCTCAAAATATTCTCAAGGGGGGCACAAAATTATGGGATGTTGGTGGAGATGCCTTGGCTACAATGGAGGATATTGGAATCCTTGAAGTTGCTAATCTTTCTATTGATAAGTCATGCTTAGAAATAGTATTTTTTGTTGATGAGGGTGAAGGTATCAATGATGAGTGCAATAGAGTTAGCACAAATGATAACACCAATACTAAATGCATTTACTCCAACAGTGATAATTATGTTGTTATATTTTATTATTTTGTTATATTTTGCTTCAATTTATTATGGATCACATTGGTATTGATTTTGGTAATTTCTTGATATTTTGAATGTAATTTTGATAATGTCAAAAATAACTTTTATGATTATAAATTTTCTTGATTATTGCAATTTGTTGTTTTGTAATGTCTTTAGTAGAAAATATTGAAAAATATATATTTATATTAATGATTTATTAAATATAAAAAAACGTGTCTATGCCGTATCGTGTCCCATTTTTTTCAGTTATGTTGGGTGGCCATATCATATCATGTGTACGAACTTACAATTTGTCTCAAAATGCCTACAAAAATAAAGCCTAAGCTGATAAAACGCATATTGAACAATGTTCAATAAAGGTTATTATCCTTGCCAGACATTAAAAAAAAAGATATTTATAAATACATCTACTTATTAAGCTTGTATAACCAGATTTCAAAAGATGATTCAGCTTTGCGCCACTGAAACAAATAAAGATTCCCAAAATACTTACAGTAGAGCTCCACTTTGTCTGAGGTCACTTTTGTTCTAATTATTAGAGGAGATGATGGTAATAAAAGATAAATAGTAATGAAAAAAAAAAAAAAACCAATTTGGTGCATCTTTACTCCTAAATTGTAAACACTGATAAATAGTGGCGGAGCATGAGAATCAAAGGAGGTCGACAATCTTTACTCCTAAATTGTAAATACTGATAAATAGTGGCGGAGCATGAGAATCAAAGGGGGGTGACAATTGTGCCAACCACTGGATAGTTCTGCACTAATGGATTGTTAACTATCAGATATAAAATTAAGTCCGAAGTCTCACATACTTGAACAATCAATTGATTGTTTCCCAATAACAAAATACTTTTAAGTATAATATTATCATAATGCTGAAACTCGAAATGAAGCATATATTTTCTAGAAGGTTTTAAAATTGCTCATTTGTATGTACAATAAGACCCACTAAAAAAAACCTACTTTTTTTCTTTCAGCAAAACTAAAGATTACATAAAGGACCAAGAAGATGATCCAATATTTGAACGATGAAACTGTCATTGCCTGATCAGTGCATTGCTAAAAATTCCAGAATTATAACTTAATTATGAAGTATTAAAAGATCTGTCAGGCAATCTTCCTGTGATACTGGTTTAGAGAATAACGAAATCAAACACATTTGATTTTGACCAGTTCATCAAACACACAAATTGGAGAAAAATGATACAAATGGACATGAACTAGCATACCTGTCAACTCCTATTTTCCCATACTTTCCTTCAATATACTGTTCAACTCTTTGCTCGCTCAGTCCAGTGGGCCTAACAAACCTACATTCAAAGCTAGCTTGATTTATGAAATAAGAACTTCAATGAAGCACAAATGTAGCATTTTATAGAATTAAACTGTAAAACAAGAAAAGCATCAAACATGAAACGAACATATAATAAAGAAGAAATGAAATATTTCGAGTAAATGATAAGCATAATTGGAATACCTAGACAATCATTCAACACATGCACTTCCTACAAAAAAATGTAAAAATGTTTCCGTGCATGTTTACTGTACTAATAAGCTTGACCGATGTATAAAAGTATTTTTAAAATATAATTTTGGTTTCCCAATCTGAATCCACAATTTGCTCTCCAAGTTAGTTAAATTTTGACCGTGAAATGCAAATTCAAATCATGCCAAATGACCTTAGGTTACTAATTCTGATTTGAACGTTATTTTAAACTATAAGTCAGAATCATTAACATGGTATGGCCTCCTCTATTTTTTCCCAATCTCTATTTCCACAGAACCAAATGTAGTTTGAAGCTTCATTATTGTAGAGAAAAGACACAATTACAATGACAAAGTAAAGTTTAAGAGAGCATGATTATTCAGCACAATAGATTATAATTTTAGCATTCTATCACCAGCAATTACTAATATTAAGAATGTTTAACCTACGCAAAGTTTCAAACTATAGCATCCTAAAGAAAACTTATATATGAATCACCAACAGAGCTGAGGAGATGTTTGAAGCATCAAAAAACAAAAAATAATAATGCAAATAAAAAAGCATCCATAGTGCGCCAATTACAAGGTTGGCAATTTTGCTCAAAACTCGAAACCAGCTTAAATTTTGAGTTAAGTTACGAGTCATTACAGCTCAAGCTATTTCTTTATTCGGTTTTGAGCCAAATTTGGCATACACAAAATGAGATTAAGCTGGTTCAAGAAAATATATATTATATTAAGGGCGCGATTGGGAACTCGTTCCTTCGGCTTCTCGTTTTTGGAACAGCAAATGACGTTTTTGGGAGCTTCTTTTTTGCGTGCATTTCATGGTTGGCGAGACGCTGATTGGTGAAAGCCAAAATGGAAGGGGTCATGTGTGTTCCACGGCGGGAGCTCCATTGTGATTGGTAGTTGATGTCACTGCCCCACTTCAGTTCGCGTAATACCTGATCATATCCATGCAAATACCACTCGCCCCCTCCCTTCCTTTGTCACATGTGTCTTCAGGACTGAAACTCGATTGCGCTGGCCTCCCTCTTTTGTCGGTGTCGGTGACTAGTTTCCTCCCTTCGTTGAAGGTTTTTCCTTTATATCTCTTTTACATTTAAAGTTTCTTCTACTTCATTGACTCGTGCGGCTTCACAAAAGATCGATTTGCATTGTGCTCGACTTCTGTGTTTGGTTTTATTTACTGTTTTTCAATTCCTCTGAGAATTTTATTCATGTTTTTATTATGTTTGTTATGTTAGTAATTGTTGATTTGCTTGTTTTTGCCACTTCTTCAATTTATAGGAACATTTTGGGAGCATAAATTTGAGAAATGATTCCATTTTTTTATGTGAAAGATTTTTAACATTGGAAATGCATTTGTTTTTATGCAAACTTGAAGGTTACGTGGCAGATAAGTTAACAACATCTATTTCTCTCATGATCGTTCAGGAGAAATTATGGAATGATAGATATATGAGTTTTTTTTTTTCTTTCGGAAGTTTTCTTAGGACTTACTTTTTATATGTTTTTTCTCATGTTGGAAATTACTGTTTCGTTTGCTCTTGCCACTTCTTCATTCTAAAGGAACATTCAGGGGGGGAGAAGTTTGAGCACTGATTCCATTTTTTTTATCTGAAAGATTTATACCATTGGAAATACATATGTTTTAAGGCAAACTTAAAGATTATATGACAGAAAAGTTAGCGCATTTATTTCCCTTCTGATCATTCAAAAGAAGTTATGGAAAGATAAATATATGAGTATTGTTTCTCTGTATCTCTGAAAATTTTTCTTGGACTTATTTGTTAGTAATTGTTGATTTGTTTTTTATTTCCTCATCTTCAATTTACAGGAACATTTTGGGGGGAGAAATTTGAGCACTGGTTTCATTTTTTTTTTATTTAAAAATATTTATCATTGAAAATGCATATGTTATGAGACAAACTTGAATTTTCATGACAGATAAGTCAGCAGAATCAATTTTCCATATTGATCATTCAAGAGAAGTAATGGAAAGATAGATATATAAGTATTATTTCTCTGTATCTCTGAGAATTATTCTTGGACGTGTTTATTAAATGTTGTTCTCATGTTGGTAATTGTCAATTTGATTATTCTTTCCTAATCTTTAGTCTACAAGAACATTTTGGGAGAAGAAATTTGAGCACTGGTTTTATTTTTTTTTTAAAGTTTTTTTACCATTGAAAATGTATATGTTTTGCGGCAAACTTGAAAGTTAATAACAGATAAGTTAATATCATCAATTTTTCCTCCTGGTCATTCAGGAGAAGTTATGAAATGATAGATATATGAGTATTATTTCTCTGTATCTCTGAGAATTTTTCTTTGACTTGTTTTTTAAATGTCTCTTCTTAAGTTAATAATTGTCAATTAGTTTACTCTTTCCTCATCTTCAGTCTACATGAACATTTTAGGGGGAGAAATTTGAGCACTGAACATGCATATATTTTAAACAAACCTAAAGGTCTTATGCTAAATAAATTAGCAATCGAGGAAGGTTATACAATAGTTAGTAATTGTCAATTTGCTTGCTCTTTCCTCGTCACATAAAGAGAAAAAGAAAACAAAGGTTGAGGGGCTAACTTGTCCAAGCAGGTCTCACAAATGATAACAAATTGCACCAGTATCACATCTAGTGCCCGCACAGCTCTACTTGCATACCCGACTATGGCATACATTGTCAAGCTACTCGACTCTATTCCAGAGATTTTTGATGACATATCCCTCTATTTATTGTTGTAAAACTTTTTGAGGATCGTCGTTACCTCTGTTATTTCTTAGAGTCAAACTAGCTAGATGACATGCCCCTCTACTTTTTTTATTTGTTACTACTGTATCAGAATGCTTATTTGTAATAATTAATATTTTCATCGTAAATGCAACGACCGTACTTATGTAGCATCACTTATTTTTTGTTGATGATTCATATTTTAGCTTTAAGTTGGTTTTTTGGATGTATATTTTTAAAATATTTGTAACAATCTATATTATAGCTTTTTTTATGCGTCTCGATAAACTTTTAATTTTAATTTTAAGACTGTTTATTTTATTTTTCAAATTTCTTGAAGGATATATCTGCTTATTTTTTTCTTAATTGGAGCTATTATATTTTATAATAATAGGAGATACAAGTTCAAGAGCATCAAATATTTCGAAAGTTCCGCTTTGCCATTGTGGTGATGGGTGTGTTCAGTGGCAAACAAGAAGGGAAGACAACTATGAGAAAAGATTTTACTCTTATCCCATAAACAGGACTCTTGCAGATTGTGACTTTTTTCATTAGGCTGATAAAACTGATAAGTTTCCTCCATACCGTGATCAGGTAAGAAGAAATGCTGCCATGGAAATGAAATTTTTCCCGAAGACTTGATCATCAGGATTTTGAAGACGAGCATCGTCTAGGCATGTTGGTTACTATTGTTGTCCTTATTATTGTAGTTTTATGCTTTAAATAACTGATCACATTTTTATGTATTAAAGTATTTTGTAATATACTTATATTTTTATGATAGTAGAATATCTTTTTGTTATTTAATTATAATTCTTCTGAAAAACTGCATTAATTCGAATATATTACATATATAAGGGCAAAACAGACTTTCTTATCAAAACAGCAATAGCACAGCAGATCCACTAAACAAACTCCTGTTTATTCATTAGTAGCTTTTTGACAGCTCCTGATAAACTGCTTCTTGAAAAAGCAGCAGCCACCCCAAACACAGACTAAATTACTAAGAAATATACATGCATACCACGAAATTCCTGTACATGTATATATCTAAAAGAAAATTTAATATTTTCATTTTCAACACTGTGATGTCATAAATCCATGCATGAAATGGTGTATCTCACTTTAAAAAAAAAAATAAAATTAATAGTAGTAATTTTTAAGTAATATTAAATATTTGAGTGTTATGTAGGTAAATATGAAAGTTTAGGTGTTAAATATGTAATTGCATAAGAACCATGTGAAATGTACGTAAATGTCCTTAAGTTTTTGTACATATCTTTGCTATGAGTAGATAATTCAAAGTATAAATTCTGATGTTACTTTCATAGCACAGAGGTTCAAAACACTAGCGTGACTCTAAATGTTTTTTGGTTTGCAATTCAAACAGGAATAATTTGAGTCAACTAATAAGCAATAACTAAATTTGAGTAGACTTGGAATCAAATGTTTTCGAGTATAGCCAACTTCATTCGAAATATATTTCAACTTCACTGATTTATTTTGAGTTCATGTCTATTTTGGCTCACTCATAACAAATAATTCACAAACTACCTTCCATATGAAGTAAAACAACACTAGTTACTTCAGAGCAGAAGCTGCGGAAAAAGAGTGAGCGCTAATATATTCTAGCATAATTAAACAAATGTTATCAAATAAAATAGCATTTGATAGCAATTACACAAGAAACCAAACAGCACTTCTAAATGATATTATGGATCAGTTGAGCTCATGAAACAACAGCACCGAGCACAAAAAAGCTAATCACACCAACAAGTGAATGTGAAATTTAAGCCACTTCTTTCTTTCTCTAACCAATAGAAGTTGGGGTTCAACTGAATATAGTAGAAAAATAGTTAACAAATTGCTTGAAGTTCCCAAACCATAGTTTGATTTGAACATGATTAAGAGATTCATGTTCATATAGTGAGTTAATTTCTAATGCACTCCGCATGAAATTTAAAAACTGTTGAAACTTTTGACCACCATCTCTTGTCTGATGCTTAGGCTGTTCAAGTAACCAAGGATGATGGTATATCTGTCACTTTGATTTTTACATACAAAAGTTCCAATTAGGACACACTACAATCATGCAAACAGTTTGCCTCGTCCACTAAGAGAAAATGGAAGATATATGCTTCAAAAATATATAGTAGAATGGAAGTGGGAGTCAAGAACAAACAAGTTCATTCTTGTCAAATAGTGAAGGCTTCAAAGTATTGTGAGGTAGCATAGATTAAAATCTTAATGTCAAAACTCACAAAGAAACTAGATAGTTAAAACCTGCATTATCAAGTCAATCCTCAAAAAAATATGTTATTTTACCGTTATAATGGGTTTTATATTTCAAATACACGATAACGTAAATTGACAACTTTATAATATACAAGAAGAATAAATAGCATTGTGATTTACATATGTAGAAACATTTTAAGGACAGTGCACCTATGAAATGAGTCGACAAAAGACATCGTCTTCGTCTCTATCATCACAACCGGAAATTCCAGAATCTCAACCTTTCCCTCCAAATCAAGTACCAAAAGATAATCTATATCCTGATGCCTTAGGTTACTAGGTTCAGAGGCTGGCTCAAGATCCACCAAATAATTGTGATTAAATTTTGCAAGGTGACTAGCATCATCCATCTACAAAACAAAGAATGCCTAATGAAACTATGAAAACTTTAAATTCCAAAGTTAAATTTAAAAATGAAAAACATGTTATTGGTGGTATAAAACTTCAAGCTACGAATAACATCATATTTCATTTTCTGCAAGCATAATTTTAGATTAAAATTCTGGGGAATTACAATAGAGAATTAACCCAAAATAATTAAAATAATACTTTCTTCACAAAGGCTGTGTGGTAAAATGAACTGCAGATTGGTTAAGGCATTTGATGAAACGATGATTAAAAACAAATCTTCATCCCCAAAGATTTAGCATGGTTGAGAGCCAACCACTAACAATTTTGCACCAATATATTTTTCAAATGTGCAATTAGAGATTAAACAATCGCTCTTAAGTGCATTAAGGCTTCATCAAACCAGAGTCACAAAAAGCAATAGAACAGCAGTGGTGCTTTCATAAACCTTTCACCACAGTTCTACATCTCAGATACCATATCATATTCCAATGGAAAAGCTCAGATGAATAAACCTCCACAGCATACCTACCTAGGACAGAGATGTAAGCGAACAGTGTAGGTACTCACCGAATCATCCAAATCTTCGGAGAGTTTCCGAGCATAAAATTTACTAAAACGTTCCAAATCAAGACACACATTCAAACAGCACCAAACGGGAAAAAAAAACAAAAAAACGATTTCTCGATTACCTCCTCAAAAATAACAAATGCAGGAAATTGGTCGAACCGACCTGATGAAAATATGAAAATGAACTAGCAGAACTATTTAGTGTGCACAACATTACAATATCTAAACGAGGAATATGCAGAATGTTGGAAAGCATACCTTGGTGCACTTACCTTGAGTGTAATATAGACACATGGGCTTCCACCGATCGATCTTCGGACTTGCAGCGTCAGCAAGAGAATAGGAGTTCATAGCGCTGAGGGAAGCAAAGACAGTGAACTTCCTGGTGGAAACGACGGATAGAGAACGAAAGAAATGGAGCAACGAAGAGGGGACGCTTGGACGGAGAAGTAAAAGATGAGATCGAGAGACCCTAGCACACGCCATTTCCAAATTCCGACCAGAAAAGCGAGACAGATTAATTTCGAACAGCCACGCAGTGGACGGAAAAGTGACGCGAAATGAGGGGAAAGAAAAGATTCCGCAGGCTAATTGGCTGTTTATTTATAAAATACTGCTATTTATAAAATAAATATTAACATGTTGAGCATTTAAAATATTAATATTTATAAATTAAATATCGGGTCGCTAATTTAATCATCAAATTGATGCTCTTAGGTGTCTATCAAATTATTCAGAAATTGGTAAAGTTTAAGAATTATGGGTTACAATTTTATCATGAATTTTGATATTTGAGTGAGAATTTAAAAAATGAATGAAAGAAAGTGTTTGATTTGTGAATAACAATGTTTTGGTTGTCCTTTATAAAATTAGCACACGTTTCCTCAATAAAATTTTTGGCACAATTATTGAGGCATTTTTAATAATAAATATTTCATATTCAAATTTAAGACCATCCAGGGCCCAGATTTCAGCAAGTTTATAGTTAAATTGTTCTTTTCGACAGGACGAACCCAGTGGTACAAAATTTTGTTTGATCATAATCCAATCAAGATCATATTACGTCATTAAAATATTTTTTAAAGGTTTTAGATCAACAATTGAATGTCAAATAAACTTCAAATTTGACATATTTATATTCAAATTGATCGTCTCGACGAGAGAAATACAATGATCTTGAATTTCTTTAATTTGAATGTCATCAAGGTCTTCAAATCTTAAAAAAAAAAGTTCTACGATCAAGGGGATCAATATGGGGTCTTTCATTCTGGTCGTTGGGTAAGTTATTTGCCAAAAAATCAAAAACCCTTATTCCATGAGCTATAAATAAATCCATTCTCCTCAATTGAGGGGAGAGTATGGGAGAAGGAACTCTGGAGCTTGTTCACGATTGAATATTTGGCGAAAACATACGACCTCCATAGTCTCCGACCACCGCTCGTCTTTCGCCTTCAACCACCTCTTGCCACCCCTGCTCATTGTGCGTGGGCAACCTCTATTTGCTAACAATATATCTCAAATATGATTGTAATGTACACTATTGTATTGAAAACCCGGTGATAACTTCAATTCTTCTGAGCTGCGGCCAATGTCCACCAACTTCGTTAATCACCGTCAATCATTGTCGACTGCTTCTATTTGGCGTCCTCGACAACACTTACTTGCTAACGTCATATATGAATTACGGTCGTAACATATAACATCATATTAAAAATTATAAACTGACTCGCAAGTTTGTTGTTAATATTGCAAGCCGAGTATAAGCTTGCATTTTGAGAAACAAACTAAGCTCGAGTTGGGCATGACTTGAGCTCAGCACTACTCGTTCACAACTCAATACATAGCAATGAAATATATTGTTATATATTTTATCAAAATGGTTCTGAAAACTATCCAATTTATTTTGATGTCAATGGTATGTAAACTCTTCAATTATCTGATGCTAATCTCAAAGCAATTAGAATTTTAAGTGTACTCTAATACGAGATTCAACTCAAATTTATTGTTGTTGTTATATGGACTCAAATTTGAACTTACTAACAAAATCTTTTTTTTTAAGAATTATCTTGTGATTTTCACATAACCGCAAAAAATATGATCATTTTATCTATTTTTCTCTTTTACTCCTACATGCAAAAAATATCTTAGAATTCTTCAATTTTCATCTCCACTGAATATAAAAGCAGTCACATACAGACCACCCCAAATTTCCTATTTATAAATCAACCATACTCTTACATCTATTTTTCAAATTCTCACTCAAATATCAAAAATTCATTTGAACGCCCAAATCCATATTTTCATTTTTTATCATTTTCTCAATAGTTTGATCCTAGCAATTATGATTTCGTGCACATTTTAATAATAATATTCTTATATATATATTATAAAACAATATAAAATAAAAAATAAAAGAAAAAAAACACTACTTAACCTAAGGGCCGATTCACACCTCTTATTCTCGGGAAATATTTGTGTACGTAATACACACGCAATTCTGCGTGCGTACTCCATTTAGGGCTGTCAATTTGACTCGTTGTTCGCGAACAACTCGTGTTTGGCTGATTCGTTAAGTCGTTAAGCCGAACGAGCCGAACACGAACAAATTTATAATAAATTTTTAAGCTCGAAATGTAAACGAGCCGAACACTAACAACAGTTTGTTCGCTCGTGTTCGGCTCAAAAAAAAAATTATATAAATTTTTATATGACAATATATTACATATATTATTTATATAATAATATATTATATATTTATGTCTAAGTTTAAATCATAACACCTCATGTGGCAATGTGATTAGTGTATTCTTTTGTATATATTTGATTCAGGTTCGAATCCCACACTTACATCTGTTTTTCACAATTTTAGTTTAACGAGCCAATTTTGAGCCGAACACGAACACACTGTTCACGAGCCGATTTCGAACACGAGTCAATTTTGAGCACGGGCTATTTCGGACGAGCCGAGCACGAGCCTAGCCTGAGCTCGCTCAAGCTCGGCTCGTTTACAGCCCTAGTTCGGTAGTCCAAAAAAATTATCATGCTGGCAAATTTGTAAATATCAATGTTTCAAGTGGCCTGTTTATAATTATGCTAATAATAAAACAAATTTTAGAAATATTCACACAGATATAACTTAATTCCTATGTATTTAAAAATGTAACATCTAAACTTTATTTTTAACATATATGACATCTTTTATATTCATGATAAAAGTGAATTTCACTTTTTATAAATCAGAATAGTGCAATTTTTAATGCGATATGAAAGATTGAGTGATATGAATGTAAAAAATTAGAGTGTTGGATGTATACATATAAAAGAATTTAGTGTTATATTTGTAAATAACTCTTATTTTGATTTGGGAAAATGAAGGTTGTCCATTGAAACTCATCAAAGGAAATGTGGCCTCCCGTTAGTAAGCAAGCTCACCTTATGTCATTTTGACGAATCTTCTTGTACGGTATTTGATATGTATATCGGAAATTTTTTATGTAATATAAGAAATAATAAATATAAAAATTAAAGTTGGAGTATTAGATATGTTATGGTAAATACATCGGATTTGGTCGGTGCGTGTTAATGAGAAAAATATTACACCAGTACTACGCACGTAGAATAACGTGCGTAGCTAATAAAATCATGTCACAACACCCCACGCGACAGAAAAAAAATGGCGCGGTAACACGGAGAATATTCCCCGGCGTTATTCATGTGTTATAGTGTTCTGAGAATATTTCTAGTGTTATAATAACACAATAACACGCAATAACACATGAATAACATAGGGGGAATATTCCCCCGTGTTACCGCGTCGTTTTTTTTCTGCCGGGAATATTCTCCCGTGTTATTCTGGTGTTATTATGTGTTATTATGTCCTGAGAATATTTTTAGTGTTATAATAACACAATAACACATCAGTAACACATGAATAACACACAATAACACATGGATAACATGGGGGAATATTTCCCGTGTTACCACGCCGTTTTTTTTCCTGCCGCGTGGGTGTCGTGGCGTGAGTTCATTGGCTACGCACGTTACTCGACTTGCATAATATTCACATAATATTTTTTCGTGTTAATGGCTTGAAAAAATTTGCCGCCCGCCCGCCTGCAGTAGTCTTTCGGGACTGGTTTTTTTTTTTTTTTTTTTTTTTTTTTTGGCTCCTAGAAGAAGAGAAATATTAATTTGCATTGATTCAGCAGGCGTGGAGATATGGATTCATTTTGATTATGAAGATTAACATTTCTACCACTCAAATTTTATGTATTATTTAACGTATCTAACACGTACCAAAACTTCAATTTTATGTACAATATTTCTATATTTCTATGCATGAAAAATTTGATTAAAAGTGATAGTATTTACGTAATATAAAATATATGGGTAGGATTGCATGTAAAATGCAAAATTTAGTTGTTAGATATATAGATACATAAAAAATTGAGTGGTATTTATTATTATTATTATTATTTTGAAATGTAATTTATTATTAATAGCAAGTAAGATTAATTCCGCCATTACCTTTTTTAAAATATTAGAGCGAGAGCGAGAGAGAGAGAGAGGATGCAAATAAAGGACTCGCCGTCTTGAAAAAATATTACATCAGGACTCCGCACGTAGAGTTCAAATGAAATCACGCCACACGTGAATGTGAGAAAAAAATTGGCCGGGTAACACCGGAGAATATTTCTCCCGTGTTATTCAGGTGTTATTGTGTGTTATTCAAGTGTTATTGATGTGTTATTGTGTTATTATAACAAAAAAAAAATTCTCAGAACACAATAACATATGAATAAAATAAAATAATACTTGAATAACGCGGGAGAATAGTCCACTGTGTTACCGAGTCGATTTTTTTCCTCACATTTTCACACGTGGTATGATTTCATTGGACTTCGCACGTAACTCTACGTGTGGAGTCCTGATGTAATATTTTTTCCGCCGTCTTGATGGAAAGATATTTATTTTAGAAAAATTTTAATATATTTTTAAATCACTATCTCAATAAACAAATTATAATAATTTCCCAACTCTAAAATTTAATTTATATTTTATTATTTTAAAATTTAATAATTTTCAAATTATTTTTTACTCAATTTATTTTATTTGACTGAAAAACATTATATGTAAAAAAATTAATTTGAGAAAATATATATATATTAAAAAATGAGAACTAATTCAATCATTTACTAAAAATTAAAAAAAATACTTTTATTAAGACATTTACTAACATTAACAAATTGGTGCCCTTCATTAATAGTTTATTATAAGAATTATTATTAGTATCACTCGGCCCTTTCATATTTACTTATCTAATACATAAACATTAATTTTTACATACGTAATATCATCCCAATGAAATACTTTCTAAAAAGCTAAAATAATGATCTTTTTTTAAGTAATATAAAATAATTGAGTGGTATATATGTAATAACTAAAATTTTGGTTTTAGATATGTAAATACAATAGATTTGGGTGGTATTTATGTAAACTTCCTTGGAAAACTTGCCTCTCCCATAGATTAAATTTACATGTGAAAATGTACAAACAGTGGTATTTTGTGATCT